TGCTCACTATCTCTATGGTTATCTGGGAAATTATTTCTATTTTGAATTTTTCTAGAGCCTGATTGATCTGTTTTGTTACTTCCTGTGCTTTGAGTTCAGGGTGTCCTGGTGGTTCACTATCGGCCTTTTCATCCTCAGTTGCCCTACTGTTTGCCATTGGTGAACTGGAAGTCTGTCCTTGTGTCTTGCTTAAGTGTTTTCTCATTTTAATTTTTGTTGTCGGACTGTCCTTGGTCTAATCTCTGGATTATCACCCAAATCTTCCTGATATAGTTGCACCCTAGCTTCTGTGTCTCTAACGACCCACAGACATTCTCATCTTCATAACATCAGAGAAAACAGCTCATCAAATCAACAGCAATGCTTTACCCCAACTGATACAATCAGCAACACATTAAGATCAAGCACAACTTGGACACTGACCACCTGTGGTAGTCACTAGTAAATCATTTGTATTAAATTGAAATCAAGAAGCAGTCCAGAACATGTCTGCAGTGAACAAAATTTCAATATAGTGTATTTACCATTTAATGGCTCAGACAGAGCGAGGATACAAGACCCCTGATCTCAGTTAGCTGATGGCTGAACCCCATGACGCTGACTGCCCTCAGGCTGCAAGGCCCAGATTGAGTTCCCCATCCTTCTGAATGGTTGAACTCCACACTGTTCTATTACAGCTTTCCCACGCCCTTTCTTTAAAGATGTTCAAAGTTGGGAACTCAGAAATATATCCCTGATAACCACCTCTGTCTTTGCAGAGTGGGTCCAAAGACTGGCACAGTCAGGAAGTCTGAGAGTGCGGTGGGGGTGGCTTTTGGGGGTTCAGGGGCGCCCGCGCAGCTACCTTCCTGGAGCAGGCATGGTTCTCCTTCCCGTGGTGCATCGGGGCCCAGCCTACCTTCCCGGTGCTTGAGCGATGGTGTCTGGGTCGGGAGCAGGTGTGGTTCACCCTCTCGTGGTGGATCAGGGCCCAGGCTTCCTCCTGGTGCTTGAGCGATGGCGCATGGGTCGGGAGCAGGCATGGTTCTCCTTCCTGCAGGGGATCAGGGCCCAGCCTACCTTCCTGGTGCTTGAGTAATGGCAGCTGGGTTGGGAGCAGGCATGGTTCTCCTTCCCGCGGGGGATCGGGGCCCAGCCTACCTTCCCGGTGCTTGAGCAATGGCGGCTGGGCTCTATCTAGCTGTTTAAATGTTTTGGTGCTGGGGATTGACCCAAGGCCTTTGCACAGAAGCACAGCCTCAGCCCTTTTAAAATTTTCTATTTTGAGACGGTGTTGTGCTAAGCTGCTAAGTTACGCAGGCTGAGTTCAAATTTAGGATCTTCCTGCCTCAGCCTCCCAGACTGCTGAGGTTACAAGTGTGTGGCCTGCTTCTTGGTTTATTCTTATATAAGCTGTTGTGAAATAGAAACTCCATTTAGTTAAAGAGAAGAGCTGAGTGTGGTGGCTCATACCTGTGATCCCAGCAATTTGGGAGGCTGAGGTAGGAGGATCACTGTGAGTTCGAGGCTAGCCTGGCCTACATAGTGAGTTCAAGGCCAGTCTTAAATACACAGCAAAAACCTGTCTCAAAAATTAAAAAAGAAAAAAAGAAGGAAGCTGGTTGTGTATCATCCCACCTACTTGAAAGAGATAGGAAAATCACTTGAGCCCAGAAGTTGGGGGCAGCCTGAGACCCGCATATAAAGATCTCTGTAGAGGTACCCTTCGGAAGATTTGGATGGTCTTGAAACTTATTAAATATAACACTTTAACCTCACCATTTTATTATTATATATATTTTTTTGTACCGGGGATTAGACTCACGACCTTGGGCTTGCAAGGCAGGCGATCAAAACACTGAGCTAAATCTCCAGCCCTAACTTCACCATTTTAAATCTGAACCTAACTTTTGTGGATGCAAGGAGTTCTTGTCTGATGAATTATAGTATAAATACCTGGATATGAATAAATGTATCTGTTTATCTATAATATAAAAGCTTTTCATTATCTGTCTACTGTGTATTAAGTAGATATGAAAATGAGGGGCAGGTGTGTCTGAGGTGTCCCATCCCGAGGTGACCCCCTTCCAATGGGAACATAGTGACAACACCAGGCCTGAAGATTCATGCAGAATTGGGCCGCTCTGTCGCTGACATGCATGCACCGCCTGATCTCTCCTCTCCGCGTGCAAGAGGGTTTGCTTATGTTCAACTGGAGTATGCTCGCGATGCTGAAGGTGCTTTACAAAATTTGGACAGAAAGTAGATTTGTGACGTTAAAGTGAAATACAGTTTGCACGAGGAATCAGGAGACACCAAATCAAGTGAAAATCAAGGAGAGGAGGTGCTGTGGGTTATATCTAGATGTCTCCAAAGCCTCCCGAGCTCACAGGGGCTGTCGGAGGCGAGCGGCTCGAGAGGGCGTGACCCTCGTCAGCAGATTGGCCCGCGATGGGCTTCCAGCTGTGAGTTGGGAGGTGGAGCCTGATTGGAGAAGGGGGGGGTCGCTGGGGGCGTGGCCTGGAAGGGTCCCTCTCCCGCCCCTCCCTTGATCTGTCCCTGCTTCCGGCCGCCCTGGGCAGAAACCACTGCAAACTGTGAGCTCAATAAACCTCTCCTCCTTAGAGTCCGGTGTCAGGGATTTTGCCTCAGAAAGTAACTGAGACTTCAGAAATGTGTATAGCTCTTTCCATTATGACCATGATGACAGATACAGACGTTCTAGAAGCCACAGTCACAAAAGGAGGAGATCAAGAAGTAGGATTTTTGATCACAGTTATAAAGGATCTTATAGGTCTAGAAATAGACTGTCGGGGAGACCATGGCCTAGCAGAAGCCATTCAGGTAATGATAGACAGAGCCTCAGCTGGAATACCCAGTACAGTTCTGCTTACTACATTTCAAGGAAGATCTGAAAGTGGAAAATGAACCAGAGAAGGGCAGTTCAAGAGACCGAAGGGTGGCCGGGCATGGTGGTGCACCCTGTAATCCCAGCACCCTGGAGGCTGAGGCGGGAGGATCACAGTGAGTTCAAGGCCAGGTTGGGTCACAAAGTGAGTTCAAGTCAAACCTGAACTACATGTCAAGATCTTGTCTCAAACCCTCCCCCAGAGCCCCCAAACCTAAAACAAACAAATGAAAACAGTGTGTAAAGAGACCAAAGGTTGGGTTAGAGGTGCTGCTATATAAATGCTGTATAATTTTGACTGGTATGAAAAGATAAAAGAATTATCAAAAAGTACATCAAATAATTGAAGTCCCTTCAAGTTTGAAAGTAGGGATTTTGGGACAAATAAAAGGAAATTCAACTTTGTACTTGTAGAAACTAATCCCTAAATATGAAGAGGTTTATATTGATTCATGGGTAACAGGTCCATAACAAATTATTACAAACTAGGATATCTAAGTAGCAAGGAAGACAGTTGTACTCTCCTACAGCACCTGTGTTGGTATGGCTCACATTGAATTGGGTGGGAAAAGGTATGGCCCAACATATGATGGCCCAACATATGCAGGCTGGCCTCGAACTCACTATGTAGCCCAGGCTGGCCTTGAACTGGTGGCGATCCTCCTGCCTCAGCCTCTTGAGTGCTGGGATTACTGACATGTGCCACCATGCCTGGCCAAGTTTGGTTATTTCTTATAAGTCAGTTCCATTTATGCTATTACTGACAAGTCTTTCCTTTGTTTATTCTGGTGCCAGTGTTTTCTGCAGAATCATTTGCTTTGTTGAAATCTGAGTTTATTTACTTGTGTAGCATGTATAGTTTATATGATCTTTAACCACTCACTTTCCCAGGCAGATTCCAATTATACTTGACATCCAGCTGAGACATCCATCTTTTACCCACTTTCCTGATCAAGTAAGTCAGCAAATATTTACTGAATGAACCCTTACCATGGGCAAAACATTGTACTGGAGAACTGGGGAGAGGAACAGATGATGTGTCCTTTATTCTTGCTAAATTTCTACTGATCGCAATCTAATGAAACTTTACAAAATGGCCCGATTGTTTTGCACCATTCATACCTTAATTAGAAACCCAATACACCATCAAAAATAAGTAATTTTATGGTTACCTGAAATTTAAAAGTATCCAGTATTCTGTTTGCATCCCATTAATGTAAAGAATGAAGAAATCATTTGTTTTAATGTGTAATAAACTAATTTATTGTGCAGTGATTGTAATATACTTGAGTTATAGTAAATTGTCAGCTTTGTTTTAATCACACACATAATAGGAAATAATTCCCCTAATAAGTATTTGACTTTGTATTTGATATTAGTCAGATGCTGGATGATATTATTATTTTGGGACCTAAAGCTGTTAACCTAACTGCTTCAGTGTGTTCTGTAAATGAGAAAATGTTCACCAGATCATACTTTTTAGTGATATACATGTACATTTTATTTTTTTATTATTATTATTTTTTTGGTACCGGGGATTGAACTCGGGTCCTTGTGCTTGCAAGGCAGGACACCGAACCACTGAGCTAAATCCCCGGCCCATACATGTACATTTTAAAGGGACATATTCTTTGAATAGTGAATACATAACTTTTCTAGTGTCACAAAATGCTTTGGGTCCCTTATGAGGATATGAATTTCTTCACACATCAATTCCATAACATTTGATTTCTGTCACATTTTGCGGCACATTTTAAAAACTTTATATAAAGTCATTCATCTAAAATCTGGAAATGGGGCTGGGGATGTAGCTCAGTGGCACAGCACCAGCCTAGAAGCACAAGGCCCCGAGGTCGATTCCCGGTACAAAAAAAAAATCTGGAAATGGAGTTTATGTCTTTAATAATTTATAGCACTTTTGAAAATGTAGTAGGATATACATAACTGAAGACAGGTATAAAATGGAGTTATTTGTATCCTTGTTAAAATTCTTTTAGGAGGGTGGAGGGGGTGAAGGGAGGGCAGGGGTGTGGGGAAAAATGAGAACCAAGACCTGTCATGTAAAGGTACAAGATCCCAATGGTGAATGTAATCATGCTGTATACCTAAAATGTACCAATAAACTCAATGAAAGAAAAAAAACTCAAAGGTCAGACTAATAGCATATGAGATAATTAATAATATGAAATAGGAAGAAAAGGGCTAAAGGTGTAGGGAAAGTGGGAAAGGTAGGGGAAAGGTAATAAGGGAAAAGAAAAAAATATGAGAAAATGAAAAAATGGAAATGAAGTGTTTTTAAATGGGGAGGGGAGAAGGGAGTGAAGGGAGGGCAGGGATAAGGGGGAAAAATGAGAACCAAGACCTGTCATGTAAAGGTACAAGATCTCAATGATGAATGTAACTGTACTGTATCCCTAAAATGTACCAGTAAACTCATAAGATTAAAAAAAATTCATGCCCATGATCACACAAGTGGCAAATAGTAGGTTGGACTACATCAATTCTGATTTGATTCATTTTTGTTGCTGTTTTCAAAATCGAGTTGGAAAATGTTTTCTAACTTTATTTTCATGGAGACAATACAATGATATAGTAGAATCTAGAGTTTACTTGGAGCAAATTGTGGATTTAATTACAATTTGCATTTTCTACTTTGATATAATTGCTAGCATTGAATTGGTAGAGGTTATGTATTTTTAAAACAGTATCATGGCAGTTCATGTTTTGTCTTCTACCTCTTTTTGACATTTCCTATTGAAGTTAAAACATCTGGGGGAGAGTTAAGTTACCTATTTGACTGAGGTCATCTTTCTCAAGAATTGGTGAGTGTATATATTGAGACTTTGTTTCAGTAGCCTGTCAACTTTATTTTTTCACAAAAAATTTTTTTTGGTACCAGCAATCGAATTCAGGACCTTGGGTTTGCCAGGCAGGTGTGGGCATCACTGAGCTGAATCCCAGGCCCTTGACTTTATTTATTTTTTTCCCGAAGTATTTTGTTCACTTGTAAGTACAATTAACTACTTGATGGCTAAAGTTTTTTTTTTTTTTGTACCAGGGATCGAACTCAGATCCTTGTGCTTGCAAGGCAGGTGGCTGATGGCTAAAATTTTGAATGTGGTAAGTCAGAAAGAGCCCATGTGGTTTCGGCAGCTGCGGGACGATGGTGGATTGTTTCTGGGTGTCTTCTGTGGCTATTACCTTGTGTACTGAAGGCTTAATTCATGAAGCCACATGCTTCCCAGGTACCTACTGAACTCTGAACACACAACTGGAAAGTGGGAATATTCTGCTTTGCAGATGAGAAGGTCATTCTTTATGGAAGACCTACCATGTGATAGGCATTTGGCCTACACTGTTTCATTTCTCACAACCTTGTAATGTAATGGATGTCTTTTCTGGAGGAGAACGAGATTAAGTTTAACCCAAGATCACAGGCTCTTGTGGTTCAGGGTCTCAGTCCAGCCTGGCTTTCCAAATTTCAATTTTTAAAAAGATTTTACTTTTGATTGCATTTGGACCATGTTCCTGTTATAATGTCCTGAGATGACGGGAAGGTTGTGACTCGAGCAGTAGTTGGGAGCCATCTAATGATATTTTATTAAGAGGATCATTGGGCTTTTAGGAGCCCCAGAGCGAAGTATGCTCATTTTCAGTAGTTGATGGCTTGATAAGTGGGTGAAGCAAGCAGCCTATTTGTCTGCACCGATTGCCATCTAGAAGCTGTTCTGCTAGTCACGAGGGAGAGGCTCCTCTCTTGGTTCTCCTCTGCCTCATCCTCAGCAGTGTTGCCTATTTTTATGAAATTTGTGTATTTGTAAAGCCAATTCATCCTTAGTTTAAAGATGGAGCTGTTTGGGAATAAAAAATGAGGCCTATAAATTCATTTCCTTCATAACTGACAGTGGTTTGTAAAGAAGTAAAAGGTCTTTCTTTGTATCTAGGTTTTTGTTTTGCTTTTGAGACAGGGTCTCCCTTGAACTCGCTATGTAGCCCAGGCTGTCTTGGAATTCAAAGGGATCCTCCTGTCTCAGCCTCTCAAGTGCTGGGATTATAGGCATGTACCACCATGCCTATATCTAGTACCGTACTCGTATCTAGTATCTTGTACTGTATCTAGTTTTTTGCAGATCCCATTTCTCTGAGTGCTGGAGAGTGAAATCATAAACTGGGCTTAGAGCCCCCCAAAAAGAAAGAATGAAAGAGAGAAAGGAAGTTAATGAAGGGTAACCCAATAGGGGCAATTAGTCATTTAATAAAATAATGCATAATAAAATTTATTCTTTCTTTGCCCTGAATTTGTTCAAATTTCACCCTTTTCAAAAAATAAAAATTAATTTTATGCGGACAATTTCAGAAGCAGATCTGAAACTCATCTACAATGTCAGTGAGACACAGCTGAGTGTGTTTTTAACTCTCTTTTTTTCAGCGGAGAGCAGCGCAGAGAGATGGCTGTCGGGAGGCCCGGATGTCCTGACGGAGACCCGGATGCAAGGTAAGAAGGCAGGATTGCTAAGTGTTCATGTGGGAAGCTGGAGTGCAGTGATCTTACTGCAGCCTTTCTCCGTGCCTTTAACTGACAGAGTTCGGGCTGATCTGGCATCTGCACAAGGCAGTGAAAGGTCAAGAGCGTGGTCACACCCAGGGCGAAGTGTGCTACGCTTGCTGCAGTGTTACCTGGTACATCTGGGCCTCAAATTCCAAGTGCCACTTAGGCCATGGAAAGAAACAAGATTATCTTCTCCACCACATAATGCTATGCATTCAAGTCCAGGAGGAAATAAGTAGGGATGAGGTAATGGCATGCCAACTATTTAAAAACATTTTTATTGAGGCATAATTCACATATCATAAAACTGACCATTTTGAAGTGTGTGATTCAGTGGTTTTGAGTGTATTTGTAAGGTTGTGCAGCCATCACTATTATTCTAGAACATTTTTATCACACCCCAAAGAAACCCTGCGTACACTAAGAGCCATTCCCCATTTTCTCCAAATCCCTCCCTACCCCCAGCCATAAGCAAACACTCTCTCTTGACTTCTCTGTTCTGGACATTTTGTCTAAATAAGCTCATACACCATGTGGCCTTCGTATCTGGGGTCTTTCAGCATGGTGCATTCAAAGTCCGTCTATGTCGTAGTATGAGTATGTTTTTCACAGAGTAATATTCCTCATGTATGGACGTACTGCAGTTGCCTGTCCATTTGGCAGTTGGTGGACGTTGGGTTCTCTCCTCTTTTTTTTTTTTTTTTTTTTTTTTTTTGTAAAAAAAAAGTTCTTTGTTTTTTTCTTTTTTTTTTTTTTTTTTTTTTTTTTTTTTGGTACCGGGGATTGAACTCGGGTCCTTGCGCTTGCAAGGCAGGCCACCGAATTGCTGAGCTAAATCCCCGGCCCTGGGTTCTCTCCTCTTTGTGATTATGAATTGTGCTGCTATGAACATCTATAGAAAAGTTTTGTGTGGATGTTTTCGTTTCTCATGGATGTATAAGTAGGAATGGAAGGTCTAAGTCGTATGAAAAATCTACCTTTAATTTTTCAGGAACTGCCAGACTGTGTTCCAAAGTGACTGCACCATTTTACATTCCTACCCATAGTGGCCGAGCATTCCGGTTTCTCTACATCCGGGCCAGTACTTGCTAAGAGCCATCGTTTTAATAATAGGGTTCTTATGGGTCATGCTACTATATATTTGATTAACTCTCATACATTTGCCTAAATATGTGGTTTAAACTAATTGTTAAGAATAATCATTGGGGATGTTAAAGCTATTTAACAGTCCTTTTCTAAAGGGTCAGAGGTCTGCTAGGTAGGATCTGGCTCCAGAAATAATAGTTTAAGAAAACCTCTTTGGAGCCGGGTATGCTGTCTATAATCCCAGCACTCTGGCAGGAGGATCGCAAGTTCCAGCCCAGCCTGGGCAACTTAGTGACTGAGAAACCCTGTCTCAAAATAAAAAGCAAAAAATGGACTGAGAATGTAGCTCAGTATGAGAGCTCTGGCTTCAAACCCAGTGTTGAAAACAAAAACAAAAACAAAAAACTAAAACAATCTTTTTTGTTTAAATGAAACAGCTGGTTTGGGTCAAAATCGAAAATGAATTTAAATTCAAAAATGTTTCCAACTTTTCTGTTGCACAAGGCCTTGGACGGAAACCTTATTGTGTATCAAGGCTTCTTTCTATCAGGCCAGTACAGTATTCTGGTTCTGAAGTGGAAATGATTACAGAACTGATCAACTCTTCTTAAAAATCCAGTGTAGTTACTGAATTAGCACGTGTAGTGATATGGAAATTATTTGCAAACATGTATTTCCCCCAAGGGTTTCTGAATCATAAAGAAAAATCCAGCTTCTTACCCTACGCTCTTGTTCTGGGCTCCCTTTCGGTGAAGGGATGAAGTTGCTGAACCGCGCAGGACGCTGGGAATAAACATCCTCTTCAAAACGAACGCAGGTGCCTGCCTCTGCTTGTGCAGCAGGGAAGTGGGTGTTACCAGGGAGATGTGCTGAACCTTCGTATGCAGTCTCATCCGCAGGGAACGCAGCAACAACAAAACCCAATCGAAATAGTTGCCACACAGTGTGCTGTTTTCAAAGAGAAAAGCATCTTTTAATTCTGTTTTTGAGACAGGCTGGCCTTGAATTTGCGGTAATCTCCCTGCTTCAGCCACCCAAGTGCTAGGATTTTTTTTTCTCATTGAGTTTATTGGTACATTTTAGGTATACAGTACAGTTACATTCATCATTGGGATCTTGTACCTTTACATGACAGCTCTTTTTTTCTCCTTGTCCCTGCCCAAGTGTTAGGGTTACAAGCGTGTGCCACCATGCCTAGAAAATATTGATATTTTGTTTAACATTTCTGTTTAATGTTAAAGTTCAGAACCACTTAGATATAGGAGTCTCAGCGAGGGCTTATATATTGAAGTGAACCAATGGAACTGGAAAAACAATGCTGATATATCCAAAGCATTTTTATTGTGGAAAACTTCAGATGTAGAAAATTCAAGAGATTGATATCATTCTCCTCTGTGTACCCATCACTCAGCTAAAACAGTGTCATCTTTTTGTTTTTGAGACAAGATCTCCGTATGCAGTTCAGCCTGGCCTTGAACTTGCTATGTAGCCTAGGCTGGCCTCCAACTCACGGTGATCCTCTTGCCTCAGCCTCCTGAGTGCTGGGATTACAAGCGTGCGCCACCTCATCTGGTAACCACTTCGGTAATAGGAAACAGGGAGATAGATCTTTTGCAGATGGGAAGAAGACCAACTGATAGAGGGAAGGAGAGAAGGGGAAGAGGGTGAAAAAAGGAATTAAGATGTGTTACATACATGCACCAACTCTGTATAAGGACTGTACTCATCATGCACTGCAAGCATGAACTAATAAAATAATCACAAGACAACTGTCATGCCTCAAAAAGTAAATAATAACTATCACAAAATGTCTGGCCCCTGTTCAAATTTCCATTTGTATCACAGATGCCTTACCCTTGTTTTAATTTCTTTGTTTAAATCAGGATCCAGATATAGTTCACAAGTTTTGATTGGAGTTTTTTTGTTTGTTTTGGTTTTTGAGACAGGGTCTCACTATGCAGTTCAGACTGGCCTTGAACTCACTATATAACCTAGACTGGCCTTGAAGTCATGGCAATCCTCCTGCCTCAGCCTCCAGAATGCTGGGATTACAGGTGTGCGCCACCACACCTGGCCTGGATTATATATGTATCTTAAAACTTTTTCCATCTCCTTTTCCCGGCTTGTAATTTTTTTTCTTCTAGTACCGGAGATCGAACTCAGAATCTTGCACTTGCTAGGTAGGCGCATTGCCACTGAGTTAAATCCCCAGCCCTTACCTGCCTGTAATTTATTTGTTGAAGAAAAACCCAGGTATCTCACCACTGTCTGGCTTCGGCTGCTGTTTTCCTGGGTGGTGGTGTCCAGCCCCTTCCTCTGTCTTCTCTACTTCCTGTGCTTTGAGAATTCTGGCTGGAGCTGCTTGGTCTCAAATGGTGGCCGCTGGCCCCAAGTGCTTAAGGAGCACTTCTGCCGTGGCCAATCCAAACTGAGGCGTGCTGTAAATGTGAAACACATCCGGATCTCAAAGACTCAGGGAAAAGGGATGCATAAACTGTTTCATTATGCACTTTTATATAGAGTTCAGGTTGATGTAATGTTTTCGATCTATTGGGCGAAGTAAATAGTGAAGTTAATTTCTCATATTCTTTGGAGTTGCTGTTAATATGGTAGTAGAAGGCTGAAAATTACATGTGTTCCTTGTGCTATGTTGCTTTTGGATGGTGCTGATTTACAGAGACATGATGACATTCAGGTTTGCTTTTTCTTTGGCAGTTGGGCTTCATAGGCAGTGCTGGGTATGTCTGGCTGGAAGTACAGAATGTCTGGTTTGTTTTGGGATGCTAGCACTCATTCGTGATCACTGGATATATTTATTCATTAAGGCTTGTAAAATGGCAGTACCTTATTTCTGCCTTTCCTTTGTATCTATTAGCTAGAACATTTCTGTAAAGAGAAACTCTCCTCGCTGGGTATGGTGGTGGACATGTAATTCTAGTTATTCAGGAAGCTGAGGCAGGAGAGTCACAAGCTTGAGGTCAACCTGGGCAACAGCAAGACCTGGTCTCAAAATAAGATATAGGGCTCAGGATGTAGCTCAGTGGCAGAATGCTTGTCCTGCATACGAGAGACCCTGGGTTTGAATCCCAGAACTGCAAAAATAAATAATAAAAAAAATGCTCAAGAATTTTGAAAAACCATGATCATTCTCATTATAAGGTTGTAAGTAGTTTGGCATCAATTTGAACTCAAAGCCATATTAAAAGCTCTTTGCAGATTTGAGAGGAGCCCTCTGAAAATTAAGAGAGAAGTTTGAAATTTCCTGTGTGGAGTCATGTGGTGGCTTAAAATGTTTTCAGAAATTTACTTGACCTTTTCTAGAGATAGAGCTCAATTCCCCTCCGCTGAGTGTGGGCTGGACTTAGTGAGTTAGTTTTAATAAATAGAATGTGGCCGAAGCAATACTGTGTTACTTCTTCTTATGTTTTTTTCTTTTTTCTCGGTACGTGTTTGCAGTACACAATGATTACATTCCTCGAGGGCAATTGGTCCGTGTACATAACACATCTGAATTCTGTTTTCCCCTTGTGCCTCTCTCCCCTCCCTCCTGTTTCCCTCCATCTCTTACTCCTCTTTCCTTTTGTAAAAAACCTATCTTCCTATTTCCTATCATCTTTTATTTTTCTCTCCATTTATAATTTGATTTTCTCATATAAGAGAAGCCATGTGAAGGGCTGGGATTTAGCTCAGTGGCACTGCACCTGCCTTGCAAGCTCAACGCCCTGAGTTTGATCCCCGGTACCACAAAAGGAGAAACCATGTGATATTTAAGCTTGTGTATCTGATTTATTTCACTTCACATTATGGTCTCGAGGTGCATCCATTGTCCTACAGATGACTCAAATCTATCCTTCATCATG